ATATACATTTTAGAAAATAATATATAAATTATATTTTAGATTTATAATAAATAATTTATATTGTAACATAATATCATTTTTCTTTATTAATAATTTATTTTAAAATATTAGAAATCAATTCATAAATTTTTATGATAGATAAAAAATCAAATTAGATAAACAATTAAATTTTTTTTTAAAACTCTCTCATCAAAGAAAAATTCATAAAAATACTCGCATAAGATTTGTGTTTAATAAGGGCTAATTTGTTTGTTTGTTTGAATCCATCTTGGAACTAATAATATATGATTTAAATACATAAATAAAACAAATTAATTTTACACCAAGACTTGAAAATATGTGGAAAATGAGGAGATAATAATTTTTTGTGAAATATTTAAGTTTTCTAATTCTTGTGAAATAATGATGCTTTAAACATGCATAAAAAATGTAACGACTCAAAAAGTTACTATAGCTCAACAACTAAGCAGCAAAAATATAAATAATTTAACTATACTAAGTTATCATGCAACAATACTTGAAAATCCATGCAATAGATATATGTGTAGGGTGCAGAATATATCTATATATATATATATATATATATATAAGTTCTTATCAATTTTGACTTGAAGACATAAAACCCTTATGGGGTTATAATAAAATTATGTATATATATACAAATATACATCTAGTATAAAGTATTGAAAATATAAAGACCCCAACGTTAATCAAGTGTCTCTAAAAATCAATGTGTGTTAAAATAGCTCAACGAAAACCATTGTCATCTCCAACATGGCATCCAAAATCTCATTCATTATTCGGCTTAATCCTATTCTCATAAACAAGAAAACAACATATTATAGAAATAATAAATTAGCTATATAAAATAACTTAATCAACACGACATAATATCAGTCTAAGACCCAGTTTAGCAACACAAAACAATCATATCAACACTATCTCTCAACTTAACAACATACCAACATTTTAACTCACAACACCATTATAGAATTCATTAGCATTTAGCAACTTTTCAACATATCAATTTGGTATAAGAAAAACACAGTTTCTCAATAGAATATGTGAACAACACAACACAACTTAGCAACATAACAACTTAAACAATATTGCAACATGGCAACACAACATGTGTTATCACGTATTTCACCTAAGAGATATCTTACAATACAAGTGAGTAATCTAAAGTGACTTGACCTTGTCAAACCAACTTAACAACATGATCATTTGGCTTGCTAAATCAGTAACAAATTTAAATATCAATCCACAACATAATATAATTTCTCAGGTTTCACAATTTAAATTAAAAAAGTCCAATACCCTCCGCTAGGTATAACATGGCTTGGGTGTGGATCCACTATGACATTGACATACATTAACCAAATCACATATGAGAATAGTTCGTCAACTATCATGACGATATCACACACATTTCTAGTAATCAGTTAAAGATTTTACTTTTACTCCTTAACTCCATACCTTATTCAATTTGGTTGCTTCTGAACCAATATGGCTCAACTTGTCCCTTATATGGTATTAACTATAACACCTTGATATCTTCATTAATGATTAATTTAGTTTTTATAAATGATGGGGGGTAATTTTTATAAACATTTTATTTATATGAAATATATGGGTTTTATTATAATATGTTTTATTAATATTTGAGGGAAGGAGAGGTGAACCTTGGTTAAAATATTTTTACTAAAGATTTAAATGAGGGTTAAGTTTTTTAAAGAGGGGTTACAACAATTTTCTTATTTTTACATTCTCATCTTTTTCATTCTATGTGTGCACTCTGAAGAATTGGGAGAAAAATCAGAGTTGGTGGGAAATCACCTTATAGATCCACCTACTTTCCCTAGTGTTTATTAAGGTATGGGGAGGAATGGGTAATCTCGTTCTAGGCATGGGATAAGAGTTGGGTAGTGAGATTGGTCTTCAATCTCTTTTCTGTTGTATGCGTCGTATGAGGGAAAAACTCAATTTTGCATCTGATTCTTAGTTTTTGTCTTCTATATGATTTTTAAGTACTCTAATTGATGTTCTTGACTTGTATGTATGCTTAAATTTGTGTATCAAACTAATCTTGTGGATCTTGAATTGCTTATGGGTTCCTATGGGAACCCTAAAAGAATGCGTTTTGGTAAATTGTATGAGAAGTTGATATGAAAATGTGATTATGTATGATTCGTGTCTTTTAGATGTGTATCTTAACCTTTTGATGTGCTTTGCCAATTGAAATTGTAAATGGATAAATTATACTTGTTGCCTCTCTTGAATTTGAAAGAATGCCAGATTTTTCTCTTTCTTGCCACAATATTGGACACTTGGCCAATCAATGCAGAAAAATTGATGAATTCACTGCCAAGAATCTCAAAGCCGGTCCAAAATTTAGAGTTGAGGTAGACGGTGATGCTTTTGGTTTGAAAAATAATGTGGAGTTAAAGGTAGGTGCAATTGCAGCTAATGATGTGCAACACCTATCTGGTGCGGTCTCTCTTTGTGATAAAGCAACGGACAATGTTAAATCAGTTGCTGATCACACGGCTAAATTTTCTACAGTTTCAGCAACTGTTCAGCAGTTGGATGTCTTGATGTGGGATCAACTGGTCGGTGATGGTGCTTAATCTGAAAGTAGGTGATGTAAGTCAGGTTATTGCAATTGGTTTAGTAGGTACAATTGTTGATCAGCTACTGGATCAGAATGATATATTATCTGATGCAGCACCAAATTTGGATGTGGCTATTGATCAGGCCAATTATCTCTACAGTAACAACTCCTTCTGTTGTTGTTGATCTTGGTGATGACTATTCAACTAAGAAGGTGTTGGATCAGATTTCGAAGGAATCTAAGACTAATTTAGAGAAGGGGATAAATTTTGATTCTTCTTTGGATAGTATGCATCCTTGGAGGACATTTCTGATGAGAATACTCAACCAAATTACTCTGCTAAAATGTCTCATACTGCTACAGGGACAAAAACTGCTGTTAAAGCTCCTCGTGCTAAATGCTCCAGTATCCTCTGATATTTTAGCCATCCCAAAATCTCATAAAAAATGGGATTTTGCAGCAATTGTTACTGCTGCGTCTGAAGAAGAACAACAGGACTTGCTACCTCATGTACCTCAAATACCTTAAATCCATGATCTTGAGTGCAAGTAGTTTTATGTTAGATCCAAGTCTTGATGGAATAGCATATTTCTATAATGTTTAACAGGATTTGTCAGATTTTCCTCCTTTGTCCAACAAACAAGACTTTGATATCCTTGTTGCTGGTGGGTTTGATTGGAAATAAGTGTCTCAATCCCCACAAAAGGTTAAGAATCAAAAGTCCAAAAAATCGTCATTGTCTAAGCCTAGAACCAGATAAGGGCAACTAAATCTTCCAAATTTTCGTGATTTGGGGCAGTTGGGATTGTTGTTCCAGCTTAGAGCATTCCGATACTAGATACAATTGTTGTTGTTTGTAAAATTGACAAATTTTTATTATGTGTTAGCCTATGCTTTTAGCTTTGATGTTTTATAATGACATTGGTCTTCTTTTTTTTTTTTTTTTTTCTTAGTTTTTGTATTTTTGTTGCGGGTTTTGGTTTGGTCCCCTACTTGTATTTTGCTTTCTTTTAATATCGGTTCTTATGATGTGTAACATATGATTATTATAAGGTGAGGTGCTAACCAGTTAGGATCTTCTCTCGCATAATGATGCTATTACACATCTACCCTTTATCCCAAAAAAAATAACTGTAGTCCCAATTTGTCCATTACATTTATTTAAATTCAATGTATGTTGGATTGTTCAATAATTTTTTCTTTCTGCTACACAACAATTTTGTTTGGTAGTAACATAAGTGATATTTTTTAAGGATAAAATTAAGTGATAGTTTGTTTTGATGCACTTATATTATTTTTAATTAAAATTAAAGTTTTATTTTAATATTATATAAATTAAAGTTTTATTTTAATATTATATAAATTAAAGTGATGCCTCGAATGTGGTTATTGTTGTGAATGGGTTGTTAAGTCAGACGAAACAATTCCCAATAAGATTTTGAATGAGACAAATATAATACATGTTATTTCTAACAAGTGTGTTAGTGTTTCAGAAAAACATAAGTACAGGCAAGTTGGAGAATAGAGCACGTGCCACTTCCTACACCAGAACCAAGATAAAGGGTAAAAGCTTCAAGCATCAGATAGAAAAGTCAACAAGCCAAGCCTAGCACAAAAAGGCAAATGATCAAACTTCAAACGATACAGACCACAGACGAAACGCTTCAAGTACCAGACGAAGATTAGTTAAAGCAAAGCACACCACGAGGATCAAACAAAGCAAGTCAAATGATAGATAGAGTAAGACATGAGCACTAGACGATGATAAATCAAATATCAGATGAAGGTGTGTCAAGGACAACCTAGAGCGCTATATAAGAATTCAGACGAAGGTTGGTCAAAGATCAGAAGAAAGTCAATTAAGTATCAGACGAAGGGCATCACAGACTGAAAAGTATTATAGACGAAAACAAAGTCTGTCCATCTACAATGTTGACCAGACTAAATAAAGTCAAAGCATTAATGACAAATGCTCAGACGAAGATCAAGACTTGAGATGTACATGGACTAACAAACGCAGACGAAGACTGTCATGAAAGCATTTGAAGAATCAAGTCTCAAGGGACAACTCAGGCATCGTCTAGAATCATACAAAAGCTCTCAATATGATCGTGCGTTGAAAGGAAGAAAAGAAAAAGAAGAAATACAAGCGCAAAAGTAAAAGCATGCATGTGTTAGAAAAAGTACATCACTTTTTCATATAAAGACAACGCCTCTACAGCTACGCGACCGGAAAAGGACAAAAAGTTCCTAGGTCGCAGCTAAAGTCAGACACAGCAGCTAACAAACGTAGAAGACTTCACGCAATGTTTATAAACAGGAAGCAACATTTAATGCAAGATCTAATGCATTAAATGAAAGATCAAACTAGTTATGAATGACTACATTCTACTTTAACGGACACTTGCAACGGGCAAATTTTACAAGACTATATATATGTCATGACTTCAAACCTGGAAAGGCTGGCGAAGAGTGATATCAAGCCCATGAAGTAATGGAACCAGAGACAGAGCTTATAGAGTCAAACATACAATATTGTATTTATCTCTGTAGACTAAGGAGTTCTAAGTGTAACTTACAATACCTTAGTAAGTGTAGAAAATATTTGTATCCTCTCTGTGAGAGTAAACCAAACACTCAAACCAAATCATCTATCTATCATTGAGTAAGCCTGAAGAGGCTAGGAAAAGAATACTTGTATAAGCCTGGAGAGACTTGTCAAAGAATATTCACTGAGAGCCTAAAGAGGCTGAACAAAGAATACTAGAGATAGTGAGTGAAGCTAGCCAACTAGGATTGGTTGATAATACTCGGGACCAAGAGTGGTCGAGAATACTCATTGAAAGCCTGAAGAGGCTGAACAAAGAATACTAAAGATAGTGAGTGAAGCTAGCCAACCAGGAGTGGTTGATAATACTCGGGACCAAGAGTGGTCGAGAATACTCATTGAAAGCCTGAAGAGGCTGAACAAAGAATACTAGAGATAGTGAGTGAAGCTAGCCAACCAGGAGTGGTTGATAATACTCGGGATCAGTAGTGGTCGAGAATACTTACTGAAAACCTGAAGAGGCTGAACAAACAATACTAGCGCTGACAAGTAAAATTGGCGGGCCATAAGTGGTCAACAATACTTGACAAACTAGAAATGGTGATAATACTTGTACTTCATTGAATATCTAGTTGAACCCTTCAATTGAAGGAGACTGGACGTAACTCAGTCTGAGCAAACTAGTATAAAAATCCTTACACTGCTTACTTACGTTTCAGACGCAAGTTCAGTTAACTGATATATTATATTGAAAACTTCATCCAATGCTTAATTTTCACTATGATTCTTTTCAGACGTAAAATATACGTGCTTAACTTAATATTTCTTAAGAAACATTTTCTTTGTGCAGACGAAAAACTTTCAAACGGGAAATATTTTGTTAAGTCAATCCTGCACAATCTTTAAGTATTCAAAATAATTTTTATTGGACGAAAAAGAATCTTTCTGCCAAAACGATTTCAAAATTTCCTCGTTCATGTACACACATATTTAACCTCCCTTCTATGTGTTTTTCATCTAACTTCATGGGCAATCTGATCTAAATTTTCGCCCTCATGCGCAAGTGATCCTCCAAATCCGTAGCCATTTGGAGAAGTGTTAGACTGTCTTGGTGACACATACTCCTTGTGATTCCAATTCTATTGCTGATATCCTTGCCAAACTCAGGGGAAAGTCTTCTTGGAAGCTAACCACATGTTGTGCTAGATAGCTTCTCCCTTGATTTAGCCTTCCTTTAGTTGGCTTTTTTCCTTTCTCTTGTCTTTGTTTCTTGTTCTTTCGCTTTCTTATTATACCAAAAAAATGTAGATCTTATATTAATATTTATGTATATTATTGAAATAAAATTTCAATTCTAATCAAAGAATTGCACCTAATTTTTTTTGTTTTTTTATACATTTTTAAATTATATTAAAAAATCATGAATAATTTAATAAAATGAAGAAATAATCACTATTTAATTTTTACATTATATTTGTTTATTATAATTGTTTCAAAATCATCACATTCAAAAAAAAACAAACCTCAACATAACTTTAAATTATCAAGTGTTGCATTTGAGAGAGATTTTTTTTATACTTTTTTTAATTATTGTAAAGGTAAATATATATATATATATATATATATATATATATATATATATATAATGATTTTGAA